CGTCAGCACGTTGGCTGCTCGGTGGTGTGTTTGCCTGGAGATGCGCTTGGGGATCCTTTGCTCTCTGTACCTGGGCGATAAAAGCCCCCCCCCCGCCCCCCGGTGCTGGTTGGGTTGGGGTGTTCCCAGCAGGAGGTGGGGAGGCCGCTAAGCCTTCTGGCTCGTCACACCTGCGAAATCCAGGCGTCACCTCCTCCTGTATAAACGGATGTTTGGACTGAAGTGGGGGTCCTCAGGGCCCAGCCATCCACTGTCTTAAAGAGAAAGGTGAGCCCGGCCGGCATGGCTCAGTGGTTGAGCGTCGCTCTGTGAACCAGGAGGTCACGGTTTGATTCCAGGTCAGGGCACATGTCCGGGTTGCAGGCTCGATCCCCAGTGGGTGGCCTGCAGGAGGCAGCTGGTCAATGATTCTTTCTCATCATTGATGTTTCTACGTCTCTCTCTTTCCTTTTCCCTTCCTCTCTGAAATCAATAAAAATATATTTATAAAAATAAAAATAAAAGCACGGAAGGACAGCCTGGAAGGACCTCTGGACTGCGAGGGTCCTAGTGTTTTTAAAGAAGATAAAGGTGAAGCTGCTCTGAGGGCAGGGATCCCCCGCTCCTTCCAGCTCAGACTTTCTCTGGGGGTAAGCCTGGTCCTGCATTTACCCTCAGGGGACAGAGAGGCAGCCGATGGGGTAACTTCATACACACACTCTCCTGCCCCACCCCAGGCCTGGCGGCTGGGCCCTGGGCTACAAAAAACGACCCCCTTTCTCCTCCCCACGGACCTGCGGCCCCTCCGTACGTCTGGAGCCCGTCTTCCTAGATGGATGGGAGCTGATGAAGTTCTTTTCCTGTGACCCACTCTGGCCCCTGATTGGGGACCGGCAGGTTTGGGAATTGGGGGGTGGAGGAAGCTGAGGAGAGACCACAGAAAGGCAGTAGAGGTGCTCCAGGGCCCCAGGAGCTGCGTGTGGCCCCGGCTTCCCTGCCAGCAGCCCCCCCACCCCGCCCCCCAGCCCGTAATAATGGGCAGAACGCAGCCGAGTTGAGTTTGGACGCGTTCCGTCCGCGTGGTCCCCGCACGGCCTCCCTCCTGAAGCCCATCTGTGGCGTCAGGCCCCCGCCGATCGTGGAAACTCGGGTTCAATTCTGTGCCCCCGATTCTCGTGCTTCCCTCCCAGGTAGGGCTTCTTGCTTGTGGCCTCCGCTGGAATAACTTGTCCACCCTTCCTGCCTGCTCCGTGTGCCACTCCCCCCCCACACACACTTTGAGCCACACCCGGTAACCCACCCAGGGTCTTCTCCGCAGCCCCTCCAGCCTGGCCACCTGCCCCTTTGAGCCAGAAGCTGTTTCTGCTCCCCGGACGTTGCCTTTTCCTTTTTAAAATATTTTTTTTATTAAATATATTTCTTATTGACTTCAGAGAAGAAGGGAGAGGGAGAGAGAGATAGAAACACCAATGATAAGAGAGAACCATTGATCAGCTGCCTCCTGCAAGACCCCTACTGGGGATGGAGCCTAATGGAACCGGCCTCCTGGTTCATAGGTCACGCCTAACCACAGAGCCACACCAGCTGAGCCGGACGTTGCCTTTTCCCTGCGAGGCCTGGAGGGTCCCTGACGACCTTGGGCTCCTGCCCTCGGTTCTGTGGATGGCATCACGCCTTCTCGGTCAGCTGCAGGCCTATGCCCTCTCCTCCCTTTGTGGCTCTGGCTGGACAGGCTGGCTGCCTGAGGTCCAGGAGGGTGACCCCCACCCCAAATCCAGGCCCGGGCTCCAGACTCACCTTGCCCAGGATGGATCCCTCCCCCTAGGACGGCCCTGGTGGCCACGCCCAGTGGCCTTCACTCTGACCGTTGTCTGGGCTGCTGTTTCCTCAAAGACACTGGTGAACGGGGGTCCTTCGTAGGGTCGTGAACACAGGGCTTCGGGAGCCCACGGCTTTCCTAGAGACCTGGGCCAGGTGCCGTAATTGAGGCTCCGTTGAGGGTCTGTCCCTGTCCTCCTAGGAAGGGACCAGGGCTGTGGTGTGCACCGGTCACCCAGAGTCCTCGCCTGGCTTCCCTCATAGCAAGGCCTCTCAAGACTTCCTGTTTCTTTCCCCCTCTCCCTGTGCCAGGCCCCCAAGGCTGCCTGGTGCAGAGCAGTGAAAGATCATTCTGTCTAGCCCCCACCCCCTCGCGCCCCCCCCCTCCAGCGGGGACGGTGAAATGTGTGTCTGCCTCGCACGCCCGGGCTGCTGGAATGAGCGTAATGAGATTGTCTGAGGGTTCAGCTGCCGGGCAAGCGAGGAGGGCTCGGGGGACAGGCGGACACACAGCCTCTCCGCCTTCTTTCGTGAGGGTTGGAGTCTGCCCGGGGCCCCTTGCTTCGGCCTCAACCAGGAAGAAAGCAAGGGGGCCCCATCGTGCCCACCAGGGCCTGGCAAGGGGCCGTGTGTCCTTCGGACGGACGTGCGTGCCCTGGGTGCTCGGCCGTGTTTCCCTGATGGGGTTTGGGGTCTGCAGTGCAGGTGGGAAGCTAGGCCACACACAGGCCTGGACACCTGCCTTCCAGCCCCTGCTCAGACCCTGACTGCCAGCCGGGTGCTGGTCGGAATTGGGCTGAGCATTTATGTGCCGGATGGGAGAATTTTGTGGGAGGCGAAATGAAAGATCCAAGAGATTAGGGAATTTGCTCACGGCCACAGCTTGGGAGGAGGTGAAAGATCTGGCTGACTCAAAGGCTATGATTTCTTTCTTTTTTTTTTTTTTTTATTGCTTTGAAGAGAGAGAGAGAGACATCGATGAGAGAGAAACATCAGTTGGCTGCCTCCTGCACGCCCCCTACTGGGGATCAAGCCTGCAACCCAGGCATATGCCCTGACCAGAATCAAACCAGGGACCTCCTGGTGCATGGAATGACACCCCACCAACTGAGCCACCCTGGAGGCTGGGGCAGGGGACTTGTTCAAAGTCATGTGGTGGGCTCACGGCAGAACGGGGACCAGCACTCCAGCCCCAGGTGCAGGCCCCGCCCTTCCTCCGTGTTCTTGTTCCCATGAGTCTTTGCAGAAGCCGACTCACCTGTCCTTTCTCTCCCCCTCAGGGGTCCTCGGTGAGCCCTGTCATGGTTCTTTAAGGAACCTCGTTGCCTAGAAGTCCCAACACGCAGTTCCCCGTCGCCGGGAAGGCGTGGACTCCAAGATGATCATAAAGGAGTATCGGATTCCTCTGCCGATGACCGTGGAGGAGTACCGCATCGCCCAGCTCTACATGATACAGGTGGGTCGGGGCGGGGCCGGCCATGCCGTGCACTGGGTGGCGGTGTGGCCTTCGCGCACCGCGTCTGCCCGCTGGGCTCCTGGTAAGCGTCTGGCTGCCAAGCACGGTGCCGGATACACCACGGCACGTCGTGGGGTGCCTGTGGCATGGATGGTCTTGCCAGGGCTGTATTCACGGCATATAACACCCGTCATCTCACTGATCCCAGATGTTATTCTCGTGTTTAGTCAGCTCGGCTGCTGGAACAAAATACCCCAGACTCGGGGGCTGGAACAAGCGACTTGACTTGTCACCATTCTGGAGGCTGGGAAGTCCAAGGTCAAGGTGCTGACAGGCTGGGTGTCTGGGGAGGGCTCTCTTCTTGGCTTGCAGACAGCCACCTTCCTACTGTGTCTTACATGGCAGAGAGGGGAGGGGCTCTCTGAGGTCTTTTTGTTAAACTTTATCTTTATTGTTGAAAGTATTACATGTCCCCTTTGTTGTGGTGGTGGTTGTTTTTTTCCCATTGACCCCGTTCACCCCCTACCCGCCCCTCCCAGGCCTTCGCCAAGTTATTGTCTCTGTCCACGGGCTATGCATATCTGCATATAAATTCCCCAGTTGCATATAAATTCCACGCTCTTTCAAACATTGAACCCTCCCCGATACCGCCCCCCCCCATGGGGTCTCTTTTTATATGAACGCTAATCCCTGGTGGGGACGACACCCTGATGATCTAATCATCTCCCAAAGGCCTGGCCCCTTCACACCATCACATTGGAGGGCCAGCTTCAGCACATGCATTCGGAGGGGGCGGGGCACAGACATTCAGTCCACAGCAAGCCATCCGACAGACACAGAGACGTTAACTGACTTGCCTGGGGGCCCGCAGCCCGCCTCCCGCCTCCCAGGTCCACCTCTTCTTACTCCCCTGGGCCACCTGCGAAACAGTGGTGACCGCCACATGGCTGATTGACAGTCGCACATGAGTGTGAGGACAACAGCTCCCTGTGAGGAGCTGGAGAATGCCACCCCACCCCGGACGGCTCTGGCCTCCCTCCTCGGTGCCTGAGCATCCTGGAATACGGGACCCGCCGCTCATGGCCCGGATGGGACCACAGCTCTGTGCAGTCCCCATCCCAGCACCCCTGGCAGCCTCTTGCTGCCCCAGCCCTTGGCCCAGCAGCACAGCTTCCCTCCCAGTTGAGGGTCTGATGATAAACCTGCTCTGGGCCCAGCTCTGGGCGTGTGGATGCCTCGGTCCAGCCTCTGGCCATGCTGGCTCCCCACCACCCCGTCGCAGAATCATCACACAGGAGCCAGGGGAGCCCAGGCCTCCACCCCTGGGTTTGCTTGGTGGCTCCCACCCTTGAGCCCAGGTCTGGGGCGTTAGGAGCTCCCTGCAGAGCCGGCCCCCAGCTCCCTCCTGGGAGGAGCTCGATGGGGCTGCTGGAGTGTGAGCGGCCCCCGGCGCGGGAAGCTCGACTGGGAAGAGGACAGAGGCAAACTCGGCCTCTCTGGGGGGCAGTTTGCTCCAAACTGCTTCAGAGACGCCACTCAATTCCCTCTTGAGCCACTTACCCTGCAATTATTCCTCGAGAGCAGGGAGGGAGGGAGAGGCTCTCAGCACCCCAGCACCGAGTACCCCGGAAATCGCTCAGCCTGTGCGAGGCCTGGCTGGTCCGCCACAGCCGCTGTTTGTCCTGCGGCTCCGTAATGCCCACCCACACCAGGGGAGCCCCCGACTACAGCCGCCCCCACCCCGGGCTCTGTGGCCTGCTGCCTCCAGACCCCTGGGGACTGACTTTCCGCTTCTACAATATCCAAAGCTCTTTCAAACATTGAACCACCTCTGCCTCTGGGCCCTCAAAAACACCTGCCATCTTCACCCCTCTTTTGAGATTAAAAAAATAATCTATTCATATATATATACACCCTATATAATAAGAGAGGGATATGCTAATTATTCCAGATATGCTAATTAGTCACGACCAGTATGCAAATTGACCATCACTCAAACTCACAAGATAGCCGCCCCCATGTGGTCAAAGATGGCTGGCAGGGGAGGGCAATTGGGGGGGACTGGGCCTGCATCTGGGCCTGAGTTCCCAGGGTCTCCATCCACCATGGGGGAGACAGACAAGCCCATTATCTCCACAGTGTGCAGGTTTCACGGGTGTGAACATAATCAGTCAGACCTCAGTAAAGCTGTTAACAAGATAAGTTAAACGCACCAGACTTTTCTGTGCCCGGCCGGGGCCGAAGGCTGGGTGACACAGATGTACTGGGGATTGAGACCACAACCCGGGCATGTGCCGTGACCGGGAATCGAACCGTGACCTCCTGGTTCATCGATCCACTGAGCCACACCTGCCGGGCACGTGTTCAAGGTTTTAAAAACAAACGAAAAGTTGGCCTGTTGTTGGCCTGTCTGGGAGAGAGCCTGCTCTCCTGGAAGAGGCCGGCAAATGCTTAGCTCCCAGCGAGCCCTGGGCAGCACTTGGCCAGGACCCTGGACAGCGCTGGGAGCGCTGCCTGGGGGGCTCCTTGCTCTTTGAGGCTTCCCACCCCTTTCATTAACCACCCACCCGGGGAGCCTCCTGTTTCTGAAGGATCCTGGCCTCCTGGGGTCTGTGCTCTGCCCGCACCAGGCCCACGGTGGCTCAGCCCCTCCTGTGCGGCCTCAGGCCCCGGGGAGGGAGAGGGCAGGGTTCTCCAGCCAGCCTGCGCCCGCAAAGCTGGCAGGGGTCACAGGTGTGTGCGTGTGAGCATGCGCACACCTGCTGTTCAGGAAGCTGACCGAAGGTAGCCTTGGCGGTGCCTTCACGTCACCATGGAAACAGATGCCGGGCTTAAAGTCACCAGCATCTCAACCTCGAGGTTTTCTGCATAAGCAGAAACCTGAGCTTTTGAACATCGGCCAGGACGGTGGTGCCAGAGGCACTCAGAGGTGACCCGGGCGGCCTACCCAGCCCAGGCAGGGGCTCCGAGGCCCCTCCTTCCTCCCCACTGCCCACAGCTGATCTGTCTGAAGCCTGAGAGAGAGCAGGAGGCAGGACTGGTTTTGGTGTGTGTGTGTGTTTTGTCGTATCCTAGCTTCATTGAGATGGAAGTCACGCACCAACCAAGTCACATGTTTACCGTGTACGGTGTAGTGGTTTTCATTATGTTATGAAACCACAATCAATTTAGAGCATTTTCAGCTCCTCAAAAAGAAGTCATTTTCCGTTCCCGGCGCCCCCCCCCTCCCCCCGCCCCATCCCTGGGCAACCAATCATCTGCTTCCTGACTCTGTGGGTTTGCCCATTCCGGATGTTTCGTAGAAATAGGATCACACAGTGTGTGGCCTTTTGTGTCCGGCTTTTCTCACTCAGCATCATGTTTTCAAGGTTCATCCACGTTGTAGCAGGTGCCAGTATTGCATTTTTATGGATGAATCATAGTCCATTGTATGGATATAATTTGTGTATCCTTTGTTGTTGTTAATCCTCACCCGAGGATATTTTCCCCATTGATGTTTACAAAGAGTGAGTGGCAGGAAGGGAGGGAGGCGGGGAGAGAGAGAGAGAAACATCCATGTGAGAGAGACACATCGATTGGTTGCCTCCAGCACATGCCCTGACCGGGGCCGGGGATCAAACCTGCAACCTAGGTACGTGCCCTTGACTGGGAATCGAACCCATGACCCTTCCGTGCACCACACTGACCAGAGCTGTTTACCCGTTTTTCAGTTCGTGGGGATCTGGGTTGGTTCCGCCTCCTGGCTGTTGTGACTGGTGCTGCTATGCACACGGGTGTCCCAGTTCGCGTGCTGACCTATGTTTTCATTTCCTCGGATGTATACCTGGGAGCGGAACTGCTGAGCCATGTGGGAACTCTGTGTCCACCTTTTTGAGGAGCCGCCGCACGATTTCCCACGACGACTGTACCATTTCGCGTTCCCACCAGCAGTGCATGACGGTCCCCATGTCTCCGCATCCTCACCAACACTTGCTAATCGTTTGGCTTCTTGGCCATCCTAATGGGCGGGAAGGGGTATCTCGTTGTAGATTTGATTGCCATTTCCCTGATGACTAGAGGGCTGAAGCATCTTCTCATGGGCTTGTTGGCCATATTTGCGTAGTTTTTTTTTTGGAGAAATGACTATTCAAGCCCTTTGTGCATTTTTGAATTGGGTTATTTCCTTCTTTGTTGTTGAGTCATAAGAGTTTTTAATATGTTTTGTATACACAACCCTTATCAGAAATATTACTTACAGAAATGTTCTCCCATTCGGTGGGTTGCCGTCCTCTTTCTTCTTAGTGTCCTGTGAGGCACAAAAGTTTTACATTTTTTATGGAATCCATTTTATCTATTTTACCTTTGGTTGCTTGCGTTTAAGAAACCATGGTCAGATCCAAGATGATGAAGACTTGCCCCATCTATCTTCTTCTAAAACTTTTGTAATTTTAGGTCTTTGATCCATTTGAGTTCATCTTTATGTGTGGTGTGAGGTAGGGGTCCAGCTTCATTCTTTTCCATGTGGAGAGCCAATTGTCCCAGCACCATTTGAAAAGACTATTCTTTCCCCATTGAGTGGTCTTGGCATCCTTGTTGAAAATTAACATATATATATAATATATGTACACTAATATATATATATATTATATAGATAGATAGATAGATAGATATAGTTTGCAGATACAGGTACATGGGTTTCCTTCTAGACTCCTGCCTCTCCTACATATGCCTATCGTAGGCTCCTCCTCCCACTCAGCTCTCCGGGGCTTGGTCACCTGAGCCCCTTCCCTTCTGCAGAGCACTGTGGCCCCCACACATGGATGGTGCCTTTGTCCCCACAGAAGAAGAGCCGCAACGAGACATATGGCGAAGGCAGTGGCGTGGAGATCCTGGAGAACAGGCCATACACGGACGGCCCAGGCGGCTCCGGACAGTACACACACAAGGTGTACCACGTGGGCAGGCACATTCCCAGCTGGTTCCGCTCCATCCTGCCCAAGGCGGCCCTGCGGGTGGTGGAGGAGTCCTGGAACGCCTACCCCTACACACGAACCAGGTGAGCAGGGAGGCGCCCTGCGGCATAGATCCCGGGAGCAGCCCTCCAGGTAGGCTCAGCCCCTGCACCCCAGGCTTCCGGGGAGCTGAGCCTCTATTCCAGGTAGGGGCGCCCTGAAGGTCTGCTAGGGTTCCCTGCAGGAAACAGGCAGAAGAGTGGCGTCAGGGAGGGAGGCCTGGAAGGCATGAGTTCAGCAAGGTCCAGCTGAGACCCCCTTGCCCTCTGGGAGCTCAGGGAATACAAACTAAACCTTCATGTTCACCTGAGAATTGGGGACAGTCAGCAGCTGGGAAGAAGCATGACCTGAGGGTAGACCAGATGGCCCAGATTCCCTCCAACCCCGAGACCCTCAGCTACATGCCATGTTGAACTGGGGTCTCCTTTAGATCCCCCGGTGGGAGGTTCTTCACTCTTTGCCCCCACCTCACCTAGTGTAGCCGAGCACCACTGGGTTCGACCAGACGGGGTGCGCCCAGCTGGCTGCCCACCTGCTATGCAGATAGGGTCCCCACGAGTCTCTTGGACTCCCTTCCCCGTCCTGGATGAGGTCCCGGAGCTTGCCCGAGGATCCATGGAAGCCATTCCTCCTCCCAACACACTTTCCTCTTCTGAGCTCAACCCCAGCCAAGAGAGAAGGGCTGGCCCAGCCTGTATGGCTCAGTGGTTGAGCATCGACCCATGAACTAGGAGGTTACCTGTTCGATTCCCAGTCAGGGCACATGCCCGGGTTGCAGGCTCGGTCCCCAGTAGGGGGCGTGCAGGAGGCAGCTGATCAGTGATTCTCTCTCATCATTAGTGTTTCTCCCTTCCTCTCTGACTGAAATCAATAAAAACATTTTTAAAAAAGAGCGGAGGGCTGTTCCCTTGTTACCAGACCTGACTCCTTCTGGGACAGCGGGCGGGGGTGGCATGTGGCTCAGAGCGCTTGTCCCTTTCCGCCCACTTGGCAGTCGGCTGCGGTAGTTGTACCTGCGTCTGCACCACGCCTTACACATGGGGACCTGGACACAGGGCTTCCAGCAGCTTCCTGCCACATCTCCCTCTTCCCCTAAACCCACCCCTGCCCCCGCCTGGCCTGGGCTGTCCCTGGGACGAGGGGAAGGTCCAGGAGGTGGACAAGACAGATGAGTCTCGTCCACCACTCGAACCTCCTTCCACCTGGGTCTCCTGCCCCGTGGGTCCGGCAGGCCCTGGCTCGGCCACCCCATGCCCACACCCTCCACCCACGGGTTCTGGTTCGGGTTAGGGATAGAGTCAGGGTTAGGGTCCTGATGGATGCTTTTCTTCCCCCACAGGTTCACTTGCCCTTTCGTGGAGAAATTCTCCATCGACATTGAGACCTTTTATAAAACCGATGCCGGAGAAAACCCCAACGTCTTCAGCCTGTCGCCCGTGGAAAGGAGCCAGCTGGTGATCGGTAACGTCCACCACGATGCTCCCGCCTGGGGAGGTGTTGGGGTTCCCTGCCTGTGGGCCCCTCATCTCCAGGCCGGCAGGCTCCCGACCCGCTCCTGTCCTGGGTCTTGAGCAAGCATGGGAGGGGGCACGAGGGGAGACAGGGTAGGCCTTCCTGGCCCCATTTTTCTGACATGTACACTGAGGCTTAGTGCCTTTTACACCCTGAGCCCCGCCCCTCCTTCCCTTCGAGGTGTCCCCACCCGTGTGTGCTCAGTGGGCGGGGCGGGGCAGTATCCCCTTCATGGCAGGCGGCCTCTACCCTTCTCCCCTCCAGGTGTGACTGGGCTCCGCAGCGAAGGGCCCCATTGGTTAAATCTATTTTTCCAAGAGAGGCCAGAAATCAAAATTTTCATGTGACATCTCCCAATTCCTCAATGTTGGCAACTAATGAAAAATCTCTGTAAATAAACTCACGCTGGCCAAACGTACATCTGTGGGGCTGATGCAGCTCAGCAGCCACCACTCGGGAATCCCGGGTTCCAGGCCCAGGAGCACGTCACGTGGAGGTGGGTCGGGCAGGTGCTCGGCCGGAGGTGGCTGCTTGCACCCCAGGAGCAAACTCCCAGGCCGCCTCTCTCGTGGGCGTGAAGGGCTTTGTCCCTGAGAATAGCCCTCCATGGGCCCCCTGGGGCCTGGACGTTGTTACTTTGCTGGGCCGACTGGAACACAATGCCACAGACGGGGGGTTAAGGGGGCGCAGCTTACACCGGAAGTTGACTGCTTCAGAGTCCTAGAGGCCAGGAGCCCAAGGTCGAGGTGTGCCCGGGCTGGGTGCCTCCCGGGTCAGTGAGGAAGGCTCTGTGCCAGGCCTCTCTCCTCCTGGCGGACCTCGGTGTTCCTGGCTTGTAAACGCATCACCCCAATCTCCGTCGTCATCTCTGCATGGTGTTCTCCCCACGGCGAGTCAGGTCCAAATGTCCCCTTTTTTATAAGGACACTAGTCATGTTGGATCAGGGCCACCCTAATGACCTCATTTTCATTTGATTACATCTTTGGAGGCCCTGTGTCCAAATAAGGCCATATTCTGAGCTCCTGGGGGTCAGGACTCTAGCATATGAACTTGGGGGGGTGGGGGTGGTGTGCGTTCTACCCAGAAATACCCATAACAGGAGGGAAGGCCCCAGCACGACGCAGGCCCTCTGGCAGCTCCACGGGCTCCCTCCACAGGCCCCTGCATGGCCCCTGTTCCCAGCATCCCCTTGTGGCCTTTCTGCCCGAGCCGGCTGGGCATATGGTCTGATCCAGGCAGGAGTTTTTTTATTTGTTTTTTAAAAAATATTTTTTATATATATATAATTTTTTAAATTCATTTCAGAGAGGAAGGGAGAGGGAGAGAGAGATAGAAACATCAGTGATGAGAGAGAATCATTGATTGGCTGCATGCCCCCTACTGGGTATTGAGCCCGAAACCCAGGCATGAGCCCTGACTGGGAATCGAACCGTGACCTCCGGGTTCATAGGTCAACGCTCAGCCACCGACCTACGCCGGCCAGACCGGACTTTCATTCCCTTCCCCCAGCCCCTATGCTGGAGCACTTGGTGCTCTGGCCCCCCACTGCTTCTGGGGGAGCTCATGTCAACCCACAGCCCAGACCCGGTGCCCACGTGCGGGGAGATGAGACAGCCCGGGCCTCACTGGGGCAGAGCCCCCGCATGCCATCCTCCCCACACGGCTCTGAGCCACACACCCTGTCCCGGCCCCCTCTCAGCACCTGTGTCCCGGCCCTGCTAACCCACGAGCCTTAGGAGCCAGCAGATCGGTGGTTCTGAGGCAGGTGACAGGCGGCATGGCTCTTGTCCTTCCCAGAGTCACTGCCATTGCTCTAGTCACCCTCCAGCCCCCAGTCCCATTGCCCCGACGCCCAGCCTGTGGCATCTGCTACCTCCTGTCAGGACTCTCCTGGGCCCTTGAATTGGCTCGTCCTGTCTCCTCCCTTTGGTCTGGGAGGGTTTCTACGGGCCAGCCTGCCTTCAGACTGTATATAGTGCCACCTGTCCCCCAGGGCACCACCCACGCACTTAGCCTGGCCGGTAATGCTGCAGATCCAACTGCGCCCTCCTCACCTCTCCCCACGTGGACCCCCTAGTGCCCCCCACCCCCCCACTCGGTCAGTCAGTGCTGCTGGGACCGTCTCAGCCTCACAGGGCTCCTGTGGCTGAAAGGCCCCTTTCTGGGAAGCTTTACCTGGCCGCCTCTCTACCCACCCGCACCCCCTCCCGCACCCCCTCCCACATCCCCTCCCACACCCCCTGTGTGTCTTCGGTAACTGGTAGAATGCACACGATGTGTGGGGGTTGCTGAAAGGACTTGAAAAGGCCACAAGGAGAGCCACAGGCCTCGCCGTCAGGAGAGCCCGAGGCCGGAGTGACCCCGAGCAGCATCCTCCCTCTGGCCCTCTGAGGCCCAGCGCCCGCAAGGATCCAGGGGCTGCAGGGACACGGGGAGGAGACGGGATAGGGGAGCGGGGAGGTCAGGGTGGAAGTGACCGCTCACTCTGAGGATCTCCCGCAGACTTCATCGACATCGTCAAGGACCCCGTGCCCCCCAACGAGTATAGGACGGAAGAGGACCCCAAGCTGTTCCACTCCATCAAGACCCAGCGGGGGCCCCTGTCGGACAACTGGATCCAGGAGTACAAGCAGCAGGTGTTCCCCATCATGTGCGCCTACAAGCTGTGCAAGGTGGAGTTCCGCTACTGGGGCATGCAGTCCAAGATCGAGAGGTTCATCCACGACACCGGTGAGCCTGGCGCCGGCCGCCCTCCTCCCCGCCTGCAGCCCCACCTGTGTCCCACCTGTGTCCCCGCCTGC